TTGTTTGTAGTCAGTCTGTGCGATCTTCTTGCAGCAGCTGACTATGTGATCCACTGTTTCTTCAGGTTCAGGCATTTGCTGTCTGTTGCTGTTTCCTCAATTTTGGCTCTGTATGCATTTGTTCTTAAGGCTTGGTCTCGTGCAGCCAGAATTAGCCCCTCTGTCTCTTTCTTCAACTTTCCTGCTCTGAGCCATTGCCAGGTCTTGTTGTTATCTGCTTTGCCTGCTAGGTTTTTTTCTGTAGTGGCCATGTAATACTTTGCCTTGCCATGTCTCTTTTCTGTTCTTCATTTGGTCTTTCTTATAGGCTAGTTTGGTTTCTTTGATATTCAGTAAGGCTTCATGGGGTACTAGCTTTAGTGCATCTTCTTCACTGTCCTTCGGATATTCTTCCAGTGCCCTTTTTTCTTCTTCAGCTGTCTGGTGTACTTGCAACATTTCACATCCTCCTATGCTCCTTGATAAGTAGAGTCTGTCAATGTCGCTGCGTGGATGAACAACATGATTCACTGTCATTATTTTTCTGGTCTTCCTATCCAGGGTCTTATTATTATTATTAGATTAAATTGTATGTGTGAACTACCCTGAAAAACTTTTCAGAAGAAGTAGAATATAGACAACCTTTCAGTTAGGCCCTCTGACCAGATAAAAGAAATCTTAGCTGGTTAATCCTGTCATTTGATTGGATTGATTTATCAATGTAAATGTGCAGTTTAGCACACAGTTATCCTAATGTAAGATCCTTTATTTTGTTTAAAGGCAGCCTAACTGCTTTCTCTTTCATTCTTTGTTCTTCTGCTCAGTAAAGCAACCTAGATTTGGAATCTGGGTTTTGAATGTGTATTTTGTATGCCTGAGGATTTTTTCCCCCTCTGTGGAGTACATTGGTCATTCATGCAATTTGCTTTGTTTATGGGCATGTGACAGTGAAGCGAACTGCACTTTACTCCCTGCAGTTTCTGGTCTTTCAGGTCTTGGGGCTGCCTGGATCAAGTTCTAGGTTTGTTTAAAAAAGAGTTAAAGCAGTATAAGGAGTTCTGATTCACAGGATGGCTGAGGGCTTTTTTCACTCCATACTGTATGTGCATTAAATTTGTAAATAACAGGAAGTTAGAAAATTAGCAACATGTGCCATTTTCCTGTTTTTAGGAAGGGATGAACTCGTAGGAATCTTCCAGGCTTTTTTTTTTTCATTTTCATTACAGACAGCCACCCAAAGACCCTTTTGATTGTGTAACTTATTTATGCAGCCAGCATACCAACTTGGGTGCTGCAACTACTGGAGAGTAGCAACAAGTTTGGATTTTCTGTATCTCTTTGTTTTTGTTTTCTGTGCCTTCAAGTCAGTGTTCACTCCTGGCAATTTCCTGAACAAGTCCCTGCAGTTTTCTTGGCAAGATTTCTGAAGTGGTTTGCCATTGCCTGCTTCCTAGGGATGAGAGAGACTGGCCCAAGGTCATCCAGCTGGCTTTGTGCCTAAGGCAGGACTAGAACTCCTGGTCTCCCAGCCTTTAACCATTACACCAAACCAGCTGTGGTACTCATCTGGATTTTTACAGCCCAGCTCAGTGGTAGTCCTAAACTAAGGTGATAATGGAGCTTTCACAGAGCTCACAAGGTGGGAAATAATTCTGCTTGAGTACATAGGCGCTGATTGTCCACTTGATGGAGCTGTTGCTTCAGCTGAGAAAGCCAACGATAATTAAAGGGACAGAAAGCTCTTCTTGCAGGAGACCCGATGTGATTTGATACATTATCCACTTCTTTCAGTTTACTTGTTTGTTTGCTGTTCAAACAAACCAGCTACTTTAAAAAATGTTCAGAAATTTTATCTAGCTCAAGATGTGGTAACAAAATCATATCATGCCAATGGTTTCCATCTGAATCATCTGCCTGTACATTTCTAAGTCCAAACCAAAGAAGTGGTATTAAATTTGAAGGATCGGAATGGTTTCAGTCCATATTCCCTAAGATAATTCATCTTCATGTAGCCATATCAAATTAAATCTTAAAGTCATATTCAGAGGCCTTTCTCTGAACCTCGTTACTAAAAGAAGTGACTTTTTGAATGAAAAAACTTTTTGATTTTTTAAAAAATCACATTATTTTATTCCTAAGAGTTTTCAGCATCTCTAATGTTTTGCTGGTGTTTTTATGTATTTTAATTCATGATGATTTATCAATTTTACTGTATTCTGTATATCCTACATTGTGATATGATTATTTTCTCTTTTATGATTTGTAAACTTTGTTATTTATGGCTAAGACAGTGTCATTTGTTGAACAGTATATGATATATAATCGGTACAGGTAACATTGTCTTCTATTTTGTGCATAGAAGTACTTTTATAGAAGCACTTTTACATTAGGCATGAGAATTGCGCCTGCATTCTGAGAAATATTTCTCCTTTCCTTGCTTGCTTCTTTTCAAATAGGTGCAGATATAAATATAAGATCAAACAATCAGGATGAAGAAACGCCCCTTCATGTAGTTGCTCGTTGTGGCACCCCTGAAATGGTCGCCTTTTATGTGGAACAAGGAGCTGTAGTTGATGGCACAAATGCCCGTCGAGAAACACCATTGGCCTGTGCCGTTTACTGGGCTCTTAATGGTAAGGAACAGACCTACAGCACAGATCACCATCTGATCTGCCGGATGCTCCTTGACTACAAAGCTGATGTTAATTCACGGGATGAAGATTTCAGGACACCCCTCCACAAGGCAGCCTGGAATTGTGATCATGTCCTACTGGACATGCTGCTTGAGGCAGGTGCTAAAGCCAATGTGATGGATGATAATGGATGTGCACCTCTGCAATATGTCCTGAAAGTGACAGATGTACGTCCTAGTGCTCAGCCTGACATCTGTTATCAGCTACTTCTAAATCATGGAGCTACCAGGATATATCCACCACAGTTCCATAAGGTGAAAAAGGAAAGTTGGGGTATATGTGTATTATGTAGAACAGAAACAAGGAATGATGGGATGGAGGCCTGTTTTTTAAAACATGTCCAATTCAGTTTAAATAACTGATTGCAGAGCAACAGAATCTTGCAGATGTTTGGTTTGGTTTGGAAAATGATCTTGCAAGTTCTCATAAGATGTTTACCATCTGGAACCTGTAAAGTCAGATCAGAGGTCAATAGCTGTTGTTTCTAGATCTGACTGCAGGCCAGGCACTATACCAGAAAAAAAAGCATCTTGTAATGGCTAATGGTGGCAGAAACATCTTTTTTCTCTTGAACATACGCACTGGGAAATGGACACATGTGGGCTTAATATGAGACTTTAAGAAAATTCTATTATGTAATGAGAATTCCATAATAGAACCATAATGGTTTCAATACATTTTAAAAAAAAACTTACACAAAAAGACAGTAGTGACACATCTTTCCTTACTTACTCCATTGCTATCCTTCAAAGTAATCTGGGAACAATTGATTTGTGGATTATATACAGATGAATTTTCTATATGCAAGAATTGTATGGCACTTATAAGAGAAAACTGGCCAAAGTGGCTAGGAGTAAAAAGGAGTTCAGCAGCAACTTGAAACTTGGTCTCCCTGAGCCTAGTCTAACATCTTAATTGATGTATCAGTCAGAATGGCATTCAGTGATGGGATCAAGAGGGTCCATCCTTTTCTGACAGTTTTTTCATAATTTGAATATTACTCATGACTGTTCTATATGCATACATGTACCCAAATCTACACTTTGCAAACAGAAATGTGAAGCAAGGTGTAGATATGCAGGTGCCAAATTAAACTCGTACCTGGTATTGGCCGTACTTGCTACAACAAACCTTTTCTTCTTAATTGTGAGGGACAGATGTTGCAATATAAACAGCAGCGGAACAATTCCTGATGTACTAAATTTTCTACCAGGTGTGGAATCTGTGGATCTGCAGAATACACACAGACATAATCTAACATTGATGACAGGCTTTCTAGAGAAGGTATTAGGCTGGTTTGCTATAGCGGAACTGAAAAAAAGCAGTATTTTTAATTTTGCCAGTAAAAGAGCTGAAAAGAATATAGCTATTGATTAAGGTTGAAATAGTTATTTCCTACTCGGTGATATTTTTAAAAGACTGTATTTGGGGGCACCCACAGGATGGGGGACAAAAGGCCATGATGATGGCCATGGCCATGTGATTAAAACCCCACTTCTGATCAATGCAGGGTCAAAGCTTCAGTCGTGAGGTTGTAGTGATCATCTCAACTTTTTTGACCTCATATCTGCAGATGCCCCTGACTAGACCTCAAAATGGCTTTCAGAAAAACAGTGAAATCCAGTGGATAGTGATATGTTTCTGCTTATAGGTATTGCAAGCTTGTTGCTCCTATCCCAGAGCAGTTGAGGTTATTGTGAATTCATACGAACAGATCAGCTGCACATCAAAATGGAGAACAGCTATACCTGATGATGTCTTTAAGGTAAGTGTTTAAATACTACTTTAAAAATGCACAACTATATTAGGGTGGTTGAGGTCATTCATTGCATTAAGCAATAATGTTATGTGTGTGATTTTTGTTTAGCATGATGGCTGAACCTAGCCAGTGTGGTTCAGAATCCATGCCTTTAGCCTTGAAACTGAGATAAGTGAACCTGATCATTAAAGAAAATACAATGTATAAACCTAGTTTGGGTCTGTTGAAAGGAATACTTAGCAGGAGACAAATATTGGCAAATTGAAATAAAAATAGGGTTCTATACAATTTATTTATTTTTATTTGTTAGATTTATACTTTACCTTTCCTCTAGGAACTCAAAGCAATGTACATAGTACTCCCTCCTACAATCTAAGCCTTATCAAATTAACCTGTCAACTAGACAGGCAGAGAAATATGGTTGATCTAAAACCACCCAATCATTTATTCTAGAGCCCAGCAGAACTTGGATATAGAGGCAAACTGACCCAACCCATCTTCTTCCACACTTCCTTGTCTGACTCTGTGAAGTGCCAACTGACTAGCCATTATGAAAATTCTCACTCCTCTCATCCAGTAAATGTTAAAAAATAAAGGTGCCAAATAAAAGTTTAATGAAAACTACTAGGCACTTGGGGAAATAAAACAAAATAAAACAAAAACAAAACAAATACAAAAATCAAAAGTTTAGCCAAAAGGAGAATATAGGGTAGTGCTAAATTCACACGTGTGTCCAGCTGGATCCAAAGAGGTCTACTGGGAAAATATATTTGTTTTTCTTTGGCAGATTCTATCTTGCTGAATTAGGAGACTTCAAATTCTATGGGAAGAAGATGATATATTTAAATAGAGAGTCTAGAAAGTCAAAATATTTGGTTCCAGCAGTGTTACTTACAGCTACATTTCAGTAAAATAGATGAAATAATGGCAAAATCTGGCACATTTTATTCAAATGTTTTTTGTGCATAGAAGAAAGATATTAACTCCAAACATGTTTTGTTTTCTCTTTGCAGACATACAGAAGTTTTTATGAATCCCTTTTTGAGGCATGTGCAAATACGCCACGATCACTGAAACATTTAACCAGATGTGCTATTCGAAGAATATTGCTCCATAAATGTCACAAAGAAATCCCTTTACTTTTAATTCCAGCAGTACTAAAGAGATATTTGCTTTTAGAGCCAGAAGGAATAATATACTAAGATTTGTAAGAGACATTTTCAGATAATTTAATTTTAATGTGTTAGGGTTCTACTCCCACTGGAGAAGTTAAAATCAAGATTTCTGTGACAGCATGAGCAAGAAGCAAAGCCAAGATTTGCTGCCGAGGATATGAATTCATATAGGTATAGATAATTTTACTGAACTCTGAGCACAGATAATAGAATATTTCATTCCTAGCAGAGTTTTCAGAAGTACAACAAATGAAAAGGAAGGACTAAGGAAAGTACTTCTGACTAAGGAAAGAGAAACAAAACACGATGTGTTGGGAAATGTTCTAAGGAGAAGTATTAGTCTTCCCTACCTGGTGGCTTCTGATGTTCCGTATTACCACTGCCATATTGGATTAGGGTTATAGGACTTGTAGTCCAAGATGCTGAGGGGGCAGCAGGTCATGCAAGACTGTTGTAAATGTTAAACTTGTCATTTTGAAGTATGTTCTTCTCCCTTGATAAAATAAGCAAGAAGTGCTGAGAAAGATAAGTTATTAAATAGAAATCAGTACATATAATCTTTTTTCCTTTTTATTATATTGTGAGTCTTCATGTATTGTTTTGATACAATGATATTTATACAATATTAATTAAAATTATTGACATTCTATTGTTTATTTCCAATACTCTTAAGTTATCCAAAGAGAAAAATTCTATCAATATTAGTTATGATTTAGGAGGTCAATATTACAAGCATAAAATTATTTTACTTTTATCCAAAATTAAATGTAGCATTAAGAAAGAAAGACTACTACATGTTGCATCAAAGTATATGTTATACCGTAAAGGCTTCGATCTTGAACTGATTACTTATTCAATAGAAATCAGTACATATAATCTAAGAGAGGGTTCCCTAACCTTTTTGGATATTGGGCACATTTGGAATTGGGGAAGTTGTCAAAATGGCTGCTGTGGTGGATACAGCCAATCACAAAATACCTTTTTAATCAGAAGGCACACTGATGAAGTTGCTTCTCACCACCCCATCTTCCATTCCAGGATGTTCTCTAGAACCTCAGTTTATGTCTTTTTTCTGGCCATGTAGTCCCAGAAAATATTATGCCTTAGCAAAGCCATTGGCCAGGTTTGCACATCTCACAAAGCTATCAGGTGGTTAATTTGTTTGTGATTTAAGATGAGAGGAAACTACCTACAGTATTATGTTTTAGGAATATATGCAAGTCAGAACATTATGGTCTATTCAATAAATGATGGTTTGAAGAATCTAGCTTTATCTTGTGTGTGACTGTAGTCATAATCTGTGGAGTATTTTGTTGTTGTTGCTAGCAACCTTATAACAAAATAAAATAGGAACACATTTTTAACACATTAAAAAGTAGCTTTTCCTGACTGCTGTCAGATAGGTTGGGACTGCAAATCTCATCATCCCTACCCAACATAGTGATTGTAGTCCAACACACCTGGAAGACACCTGCTGTGGAAAGTTGCGGTATCAACACACTATAATGAAGGGTTGTCACAGCTCCCACTGCTGTGTACATTCAATAAAAATAGCTTTTTTTACTGCTGCAGTGTGAAAAAATAAAACACACTGTAACTTCAACAAACTCACAATGGCTAAAGCAGCTCGGAAATGAGAAATTAAAGGAAAGGCAGCTGCCACCAGAACGAATCTTCTGCAGGACCAGGAAAAAATGGGAGAGGACTCATGTTTAATATCTGCATGCATAATTTCTTTCTTTGAGCCTGCCAGCGTGTGCACGTAGAAGAACAATGAGGCTACGTGGCTCTGTCGTTGTAGCTTAGGCTCCCATGCTGAGAGAGAAGGAGAGGATCCATGTCACTGCTCTCCCCAGACACCCTCCCCTGGTTGCAGCTGCCCTCCCTTTTCACTCTGTGGGCATCTAGCCTCACTCCCCAGTTTTGTTCTAAGCAGGTGCTAGATTATACCCATTGTGGCATCTGACAGAGAACCCAGCAGGATCACTCTGATTATAGTAGGAAGAATTTGCAGTCTGCTCAAAGCACCGGAGGACATCAGTGTCAGAACAAATCTGCCTTGCCCTCTTTTTACTGCTGTTTTTCATTTGGCTGAAAGGTCAGTCAGAAATAAACCCTCTACAGCCCTATGCCATCCCATTCTGGATGCGCGTCAGTGTGCCCTCCTGACCACCTTGTTTCTAGGGAGCAAAGAGCTTGGACATACAAGATGTGTATTACAGGATAGGATCGCTGCACCTGCTGCCAAGCTCTACCAGTAACATTTTTATGATACAGACAAATTTACATGGGTTTTGCTGATTTCATTTTTTGCTGCATCCTTGCAATTATTGCTACACCCCTGCATGACAACATTTATCCATCTCTATAAAACTGGGGGAGGGGAGGGGAGAGGAGAGGAGAGGAGAGGGGAGGAGAGGAGAGGAGAGGGGAGGAGAGGAGAGGAGAGGAGAGGAGAGGAGAGGAGAGGAGAGGAGAGGAGAGGAGAGGAGAGGAGAGGAGAGGAGAGGAGAGGAGAGGAGAAGAATATTGGTCTGGAACTTACAAGCCCATGCAACTCAAAATCTGGCAGAAATATTTAATCAAACAGAATTGTTTCAATAAAACTGAACACCTTTCTCTATGCTTCACTATGTCTCTCCACCTATCCAGTGGGCTCACTTCCTTTTCACTAAGAATACTACTATAGCTAAACCCTAAAATACAGTTAATCTGAGCTATGATGTGTTTAAATGCCAATTTACTTATTTAATTATTCAGTTTATATCTTGCCTTTAGTTTAGGAGCTCAAGGCAGCATACAGAGAACTCACTGCTTGTTTTCTCCAACAACCAACCACCCTGGGAGGTAGGTTGGGTTGAGAGACAGTTAGCTTCCATGACTGAAGAACTTTGAAGCTAGCTTCTTCAAATCATAGTCAACATTAATCAATTCCTCTTTATAAATAACATGCTATATATGAACTAAACCAATTGTGACTTATTCAATAAACCAAGGTTAAACCATGGGCTAATAGAAAGTATTATCACAGCTGATATTTGTAAAAACATACAGAATCAGGAAAGATAAACATTTTACCATTAAAAATGCTATATTTTGCAAAAGGTAGAGAAATTGATACTGGCTTAGTTAAAAACTGCCATTATGGCTAGTAAAACATGATTAATGGCTTATCAAGTAAAGTCAACCAACTGGTTTATTCAATAAAACATAGTAAGCAAATCAGGGCTTAGGACATTATGTTAATTCGGTGTTACCTGTATATTTAAAGGCAGTTTTTTCTTTTGACTGAAAAATCACGGTCTACCTCTTTCATAGGTCCCACACTGACCATCACATATCTCATGATACCATTTTGAGATGTCATTTGCGCCCTCTTCCCTAGATCTTCTCCTCAGATCCAAGTTTTCATTAAGGAGGATTTTTTAAGGAATTAATTCATCTGTTTTCTATGTTTACCAGTTTTACAAGCATTAATCTTTGGTAAAGTTATCTTGTTACCATAAACAGAATAAGGAAATTATGTTGTTAGATAAATAAAAATGACTGAATTCACTTCTACTGTTCTTCGTGTTTTTCACCTGACAGTATGGAATTACAATATTCCTAGCATATTTTCAAACAGTAATTTTATTTACAATTCAGGCCTCTGTCTCAGTTTTATGTACTGTACAGGCTAGCATGAATTTGGTCGAAAGAGGGCAGCACCAGATCATTTTTGTAGTTTCATTCAACGTGAAGAGCAAAAACAAGAATACATCCTGAATTACTTAAAATAATGAAAATGACTTTTTCTTAGCACTTTCTGAAACGTTGAACTGCACTAGACATACAAAATAGCAGGGGTAATAACATTACCTGAATGAAGCTAAGTCAAAGTATGCTCCCTCTGAATTACATAATGAAAGGTAGGTGAGATAAAAGGAATATACATATATAAATACTGTGTAATACAGAGACTATTTCAGAATTATGGCTTCAACAAATACATACTGTCTTGGTCCAAATATGTATTTATTTCCAATAAAGAAGAATCTGCTCACAGATGTAGTGATGAATCTGCTTTTGTAGATCAGGGTTCTGATGTAACACTGTTTTGGTGCTTTTTTAAAAAAAATGTAGTAGAGAAGATCCAGTTACAATGCAATAATGCTGAATGTTGTTGCTCAGCCTTTGGAGCTTTGAGGCAGTGGTACTTTCTTCATCCATATTGTACGTGAGCTACCTGAACCCACATTTTTCTCCTCCCTCCCTGTCTTTTCTTTCATTTCCATCCAGTTGTCTTCTAAGAATAAACTTAGCTTGTAGTCTAAGTCTCTAGTCAGATTTTGTCAGGTTTAGCTATTTGACCAGTTATATAAATGACTACTGGTGAGAACACTTCCCGCAAATCTCCAGGCCAATATAAGTTTAAAACAAGTATGTGTCAGTCAAATATATTTGATGCCATTTCTCTGCAGCCTCCAGTCTTGGCTGATCTAAAAAGTTAAAGGTCTGCTGTGGTGGGTTCTTGGATATTCGGACGACCCTAGGGATTAGGCCAGGAAGTCAAAAGATGCTCCAAAATAAGGGAATGGTAAACCTATATTACTCTGAGAAACCTGCATGGAAATATCCATGTAAATCACCAGGACCTGGAGTCCCACCAATACTCTAAACATATCTATTTTTTTTAGGAAAAAAAATGTTCAAACTGGGTTCACACAGTTTATTAACCCATAATATAATTTATTTGGTATTAATGGTATGTGTTGTGTGAACACAGTTATTGTGGTTTGTAAATCATGGTTTATTAGTGTAATTTGTGATTCTAGCCTCCATCTAGGTGGCACAAAAATACTCCTAGCAGGTTGTAGTGGTAACATTATGCATCAACAAAGTTTCTTCAAGTTCTGAGCTTTGTGAGGGAAAATCTTGAACATGTGATGAGGATTCATATCTCTGTGGACCAGGTCTTGCCTTGTAGTCTACTTACTCATGTATGCTTTTCCTGTAGAAAAAGTCCTTCTTACTACAGCAGTTAGGAAGGGCACAACTTCAGCTTTCTTTACATGGCAAACATCCGGGACTAGAATAGCTACAAATTTAATGTGGAAAGCAGGGAGGTTATCACATGGCAAACAGATAAAGCATTATGTAACTGCCTTTTTCAAGTATGTGCTTAGCATAATACAGAGTTGTGTATGTCAGGGTGTCGGGCATTGACTAGCATGGCACAGGAAGAATAGAGAATATTCATTTCCAAAGGTTCTGATGAAAATCTAGCTTTGTAGGGAGGATTCCTTTGAAAAGACAGGGATGCAAGGAGCTAACCACAACATAATATGTGCATTGTGTAGAAAGTGAGAAAACAATTCTAGGGTCTAGCATGAAAGCAAACCAAGCTAATGCATTTGTCACAAGAAGGGATGTTGTAGGCTGGGAGCAGCAATGTGTTCTATTTTATATTAGATGATAGATAGATAGATAGATAGATAGATAGATAGACAGACAGACAGACAGACAGACAGACAGATAGATAGATAGAACCAGT